TTTACACAGCTACATGCATTTTTAGGGGTATATATCCCACCATTAGAGTGGGTCTCTGTCGTGGTTGGGAGCGGGGCTGGGTGTGGGTTTGGGGAATAAAGGGGAAAAACAAAAATAAAGTCAGTCCACAGAGGGGCCTGGCACAGAGAGATGACGGTGGTGTGCTGTGGGCTGAAGAATGTGTTTCACTCAACTCTGTCTTTCAGAGGTTTATAAAACAGCACAGGCCTTGTTGTCAGACAACCCCAGCTTCAAATTCTCGTATCTCCCACGTACTAGCCCTGTGGCTGTGGACAAGCGACTCGACCTCTCTGAGTATGTTTGTTCATCTGGAGAATGGTGGGATCACTTCCGTCAGGTGGTCACGAGGATTAAACTAACGGAGATACGTGAGTGTAGGGCTTACAGGAACATCAGCTCCTCCTCTCTATTTCCCACTGAAGGGACCTAAATAACAGAGGCCATCAGCCCCCTAGGGAGCCGTGGGTTCTTTGAAGGGTCCTGAATGGAACGCCCAGAAAGGAAACTAAGATCTGAAGGCTCTGGCTCCTAGCAGTACCGGCAAGGCCTGGACTGGCTCTCCTGGGCGTGCTGTTTGGGTGTGTGGATGTCGGACTGGGCAAGTGCCCGAGCGAGCTGCTCTCTGAGTGCCTGTCAGGGCTGCCCAGCTCAGAGTGGCCAGACAATGTCATGCCTGCCTCCACCAGCAACATCCACCATCTGTAAACCCTCTTGTGTTCAATTTCCCCCAAGACCAGGCATTCACAGGCAACCGAAGGATTTGGTTTTAGTGAATTATATAGAGCTAAAGAGACTGGCACCAAGGCCATCCCTCTGTGCTGGAATGCACTCCAGACCCGAGACCCCACCTGGGGGTCTCCCAAGGCAGGGAAGGCCCAGTGGGCACCAGGCATAACCAGCTCTTCCTCTTCTCCTGCAGATGATGACGAGCACGAGTGGATCATCCGGACGTGCCGGAAGGGCTGGGATGAGATCGTGGGTCACAGCCTCAGGCCATGAGCTCTGCAGCCGCCTCCGCCAGAGGTTTCCTTCTGCACGGCTGGCACTGGCTGGCCCACAGAGCAGGCTGTATTTGTAGAACCTGACTTTTGACTCAGGAATAAAGGCTTTCTGCAGTCAGTGGCCCAAGTGTACTTTCCTTAGACTGTTTCTTGGAACAGGGATCCTTATTTCACCCGCATCAGAATCACTTGGGGGAAAATTGTGAACTAGATAGTCCCAGCCCCTACCCTGAACCTGCTCATCAGAATCTCTGGGAAGGGGGTCAGCAATTTGCTTTCCCAGATATTTCATATGCACATGGAAGTTTAGGAAGCATCACCTTACAATAATAGATATAGGTAATTCAATGAGTGACTAATATGTGCGGGCAGTATGTATGGATTATCCCAGCTCCTCACAACAGCCTTGCAAGAGAGAGCTCAGCATCACCTTTTACAGATGGGGAATCTGAAGTTCAGAGAGAGTGAGTGACTTGCCCTAAGTCACACAGCATTTGAATCCAAGTCCCTCCAAAGACAAAGCCCAGCTGTTTTTTTACTGCAAGTTGCTGGCCTTACCGGTCTTGATCTCACAGGCCAGGAGGACGGAATGACTGTGCCCACACTCATAGCTGGTACCTTTCTGCAGGCCCAGGACTGCCTCTCCCTCTTGGAAGTTCCCCTATTTGAGCCTCATACCCTGAGCGTAGAATCGGTGTGGGGCCATAGAAAGAATGTGGCTTTGGCATCATATACACCTGGGTTCAAAGCCCAGCTCAACCACAGGTATCATGTACTCTCGGGCAAGTTACTTCACCTCTCTGAGCCTCAGTCTCCTCATCTGTAAAATGGGTAAAACGCTTAAAACAATAAGGGAGCTGTGTGGATTGATTGAGATAAGTAAAGGAGCTGGCTGGCACTTAGCAGGTGTTCAATATGTGCTTGCTTTAAAGAATAATTAGTTAGCTGTGCATACAGAGTAATTATTCCTCAAAATCACCCCCAAGATAACGTGTCAGCTGAAACCTGAAGAGGAAGTGGTGACATGTTCCAGGGCTACACTTGGGCCACAGCATCCTGGGTCTTCGCTCCATAACTGTCCCTCCTTAGAGGCTGCTGGATCCTGCAGCCCCTCAGGCCCTGTCCCCTGGCTCACTAAGAGCTGCCCAAGAGAGGAAGTCAGGCCTGGGCGGGCTCTGCAGGGCCAGGGATCTGCCCCTCAAACTACAGATCCAGAGTTGGCATGCTGGGGCGGAGCCAGGAGTCAGAGGGATGCCTGGGCCCACTCAGCTGTGCGTGGAGGGGTCCTGCGGGGTCACCTCTCCCCTCCGAGGCAATAGTCACCTCTGCAGAAAGACAGAGTTGAGCTCCACTGGAGGTTTCCAAACTGTGTTTGAAAACAGAAGGTACATTCATGTAAAGAAACACACACACACACACACACACACACCCCTGAAACTAAACTATTTTCAAAGATACCTTACATGTAAATCAACATTTGATAAATGGATTGGAAGAATGGAGCGGGGAGGGGCAGAGATGGGGGCAGAGATGGGGGATGCAACATCTGAAGAAAAGAGGGGGGCCCTGCAGAGGCGATGACCATGTCCACCGTGAGCTGAGGCTGCTGAGCTGCTCTCTGCAGGTCCATGGGGCAGGGGGTGGAGAGCGCTGGGGAAGCCTCTGCATCAGATAGAGACACTCCACTCCCCTCCTCTCAAGCTTTGGCTTGTACAAACAGTTGCTGCTGAAAGAAAAATTTGGCAAGCAGCAGAAAGATGCTCTCTCGCTCCTCAGATTATGTAGTGGCTTTGGTACCCAACAAGGCCAATATGAGCCACTTGTGCTGAAGCTGGAGCCCTGTCTCCCTGTCTCCCATCCCATATTCCCTTTGCTTCACCATAGCAAATTCTCCCCCATCTTCCAGTGGGCTCCTGTGCGCCTCCCTTTCTGGCCCCCCAACATCTCCTCTTTTGCACCTATTCTGTGAACTCCTCATCTGATAGGATCCAGCTCAAATGTCCCCCTCCCCCACAGCATGTTGGCGGGATCCATCTGTTTACAACCAGACTGAGAGTCCCCTAGGGCAGACTCTGGCTGGGCCCTTCTCTGAGCCTGCAGAGCCAGCACAGGGACCAGCAGAGAGCATGTGTTCAGCAGTGGCCAGAGAACAGCAGCCACTCTGATTTCCTACGAAGCTTGGAGAAGAAACCCACCATCGTGCCTTCACAACGCCCAGGTCACTAACTGGGAAACAGTTTCAGCTCTCCTGGAAGAGGTGTGCGCTGTCCAGTAGCCCAGATGCTCTGGGGGCCAGGCCCAAGGCCTTAACCAGAGAGCAGGAAAGAAATGGAATCCCATGGCGTTCTGGATTTAAGTGCCAGCACTTCTACTTGCATTAACTTTATTTATTACACAAATAAGACATTTACAAAGCACAACATGAAAGGTATGTAACAAAACAGACATTGGTTTTACAAAAAAGTGCTTACAATTTTTTCCGTGTGTGTGTATTTTCCCCTCTTGTTTTGTATTTAAATAAATAGTCTTGATGGCCTGTACATTCCCAGGCTGCTCTAACAGGCTAGTGGAGACATGTCTGAACTGCAACATGCTACGACCACGTGATCCACGCAAGGAACAGACCCTGGGGGAGGCTCAAGGCAGAGTGGGTACTGGGTGACCCCAGGCAGGACTCGGCTGGCCACTGACTGACCATGTGGTTGAGCTTGGGGCTTCGATCATCAGGAGCAGAAATCAAAGGAAAGATTAGAGCCCCCCAGGCACCGGGGATCAGGTCCAAGTTGCTCCTGTTAGTGTCAGCACCCAGTGCAGGGCCTGGGAACGGTTCACTGGATGAGTTCTGGAAGGAGCTGCACTGACCACATCGTGAGTGATGCCTTCTCTTTGCCCTGAGTCAGCTGAAACCATCTTCAGCAGGGAAAGGAAGCGGGTTCCCTTCTTGGGCTGCACCCATGCCTAGCCCTCCCCCAGGTCCCAGAGCAAGAATGGCAGATAGGTTTTCATTTTAGGTGCCAGCTTCAAGAATTTGGATTCTGAAACCTTGTTCAGACTCAGTGAGATAGTGCTGCAATCGATTAGTGATGTCTGCCACGGGTGAAACCAGGGACAGCAGATACATATGTACCATGAGCTTGCTTTCCCTGTCCTAGAGTCTCCTTCCAAAAGCAACATTATCAGGTTAACCAAAGCAGGAAGGAGGACTTGGGCTAAAACATGCTTATGAGCAGCCTCTAGTGGGAAATGCATCGGGACACCAAGTAATTCTAAAATTACAGGATAAGCTTGGGACAAATGGGCGTCCCCTGAAAACATAAATCATGGTCTTGTGCAGCCCAAGCCCTTTTGTTTGAGGTGGAAGAGTTGCAGCAATATAGGGAGGATGTGAGCACAGCTGTGCCTGGCCTCCGTTCTCAGGAGTGGGTGGGGCTGGCTCTGGTCAGGGCTGGTCGGGAAGCCTGAAGAGCCAGCTGGAATCCTGGGCTTGGCACACTCACCTAGACAGCAGGCACCCTCTCCTACTCAAAGATGGGTCCAGGATGAACATTCGGACAGCCATTCCCTGGGCTCTGTTCCCCAGACCCCCGTGAGTGGTCTCCCTCAAAGAAGTGGCCCCAGCACCCCTATCAGAAGTCAACAAGTAGCCAACAAGGGCCCCCAATTCTAACCTGCCCAAACATTCAGAAATGTCATCACACAGATCAAACACCTCTGCTGTGTCTCCAGTTAAATGCTGGATAACCAGGTGGGCGTTACCCCCCCACACCCCGAGTTTTCTCTTTCCTCTCCTTAAAATCTGCCACATCCTTCGCCTTGATAAACAAACCACTGGGGGTCTCTGTCCTCCCCAGCCCCCACCCATCCCCCTGCCTCTTGGTCTGGGCAGGCCTCCATCTCTGCCCTGTTGGGCCTCTCAGGGTTGGTCACTGTCTCTTCTCTCTCTGAATTAACTTGACATAACCAGACAGATGGAAATGATAAAATTAGAACATAGCTTTCCTTTGGGGACATCCCACAAACACTGTAGAGTTTTCCAGACAAAAGAAACAGAGTGGATAACATTGGGGGTTGTCGGCTATTCAGAATTCAGAGATGGTTCCAAGGAAGTAGTAAATAAAGGCCAATACGAGAGGAAAGAAAACCTGTAAATTAGGAGGCTGTTGGCATCGCACAATTCAATTCGGCCTTTTGCTATCATTATCAGCTTAAGTTGAAGATGACTCTTGTCTAAATGGGAAAAAATGGGCTGTTGTTTTCACACTGATTCCAAACTTCAGGGAGCTCTGCCTTCTGAGAGGAGGACTCCGCGGTGCTCCTGGGGGGTTCTGGTTCTCAGCAGGAGAGGGGAAGGCCAGGCCCAGGGGCCCAGCTGGTGGTGGGCAGGATGGCAGATGGGGTGGATGCGGAGTGGGTGGATCCCGGCAGCAGCTCGGACACTGGATTTCAGCGGCTGAGTGGCAGCTGTGGGGTGCCCACGGCCAGATGCGGAAGGGCCGGCAGTGTTAGTACTGAAAAAGGATGACCTGCAAGAGGAGGGCATGGAAGGTGGCTGAGAGAGGGCCTGCCCCACCCAGCAGCCCCCCAGAGGTCCTCAAAGGCCTGGAGAATGAGGGTGGCTCATGGCCCGGATCTGGGTTCAAATCCTGGCTCTGTCACTTACTTGCTGTGGGACCGTGGGCAACTCATTTCACCTCCCTGAGCCTGTTTCCTCATCTGTAAAATGCGGATGGCAAAACCTCTCTCTCGGAAATGGGGGGATTCAGTGAGATACAAGAGCAGCAGCAAATGTCTCGTGGGCAGTGCACCCTGCAGCCGGCACTGGGTAAAGTGCCATAGGTGCATCATCTCACGGAAGCCTTGCCTCAACCCCACGAGGGCATCCCGCCATCCTCTCCATTTTACAGGGGAGGGCACTGAGGCTCAGGGAGGTGAAATCAGCAAGCTCACCATCACACAGCTAGGAAGAGGTGGACCCAGCACTGCAACCCAGGCCTGGCTCTAGAGCAAGCTCTCTTCATTACACCACATGCCTCTACGTTTCTGAGGCCACCACAGTCACTGATGCTTACTGCACACTAGGCAATGGGCCAAGTACTTCACATGCACTCAGTCCTCACACAGCCGAGAGGCAGGCGGCTCAGACATGCAGGTGCCTGACACGCACAGGGGGTGATCAGGGACGAACAACCCCTTCCCCTCTCCCTCTTCCACCTGAAGCCTCTCAGTGCCACCAACACAGCCAGTCCTCTGAAGTTCAGGTCAAGGATTACCAGCTATCTGGTCAATGGGATGTGCTTTTGCATAATGAAGTATCAGGAGGAGGTTTCAAGGGGCCCAGGGACATCAAGTGGGTACAGCCTTATGGCTGTTCCATCAGGAATGCTACTTGCCCAGATCGGTTACCATGAGGAGGAGGTGGAGGAAAGCCATGGTGATGATCTCCACGAGAGTAATCATAGTCGTAACCAGCATCTATGGAGCCCTTTCTGTGTACCGGGCACTGTGCGAGGCTCTCTACATACATTATCGCACTTGTTATCAACAACAACAGGTGGTGGGAACTACTATAATCCCCATTTTGTAGATGCAGGAACTGAGGCTCAGAGAAGCTAATTGTGTTCCTAGGTCTCGAAGTGAGAAGGTGGCAGAGCTGAGATTCAGAGTCCGCCCACTCCAGAGCTTGCACTGAACTGCCTCACCACTCTCCTGGGCAATGCTCTCCTCTGGTCTCTGGGATGCCTGGCTTGGGGCTCTCACTAAGAGAAGCTCTCTCAACAAGGATGACTCTGGTACGATCCCTCCCCTCCATGGGTCTCAGTCTCCATCGGATCAATGACAGCTTTGTCCTGATTTCTAAGAGACTTCCAAGCTCTGAAATTGTGGGATCAGGGGCCATGACCAGGAAGAAATATGGTTCTGGAAACTCACAGGCATGTGTGGCCAAATGATGACATGAGAGAGGCAGAGAATGCTACCCCCAAATGCTCAGAGCACCGTTCTCTTGGCCAGGCTAGTGCTGGTCTTGATGAGTGGGTTCAGGGGGCTGCCCAGGGGGCACTGAGTCTCCTCAGAGCTATGCTGGCTCCGGCCTGGAGGGACTCAGCAGAAAGCGCACACAGTCCTACATGGACTGACTACACGCAGCCCACCAGGCCCCATGGGTTTGGCAAGATGTGGACAAAAAAAGGTTTCCAGGAGCCAGCAGGAAGGCCTGACGGTGAGAGGGCAGAAGGTCATGAAGGAGCAGGAGACATTTTCCTGCAGAGCTGCTGGATATCAAATTGGGGATGCGGCCCAGCACAAGAGAACTCTGGCTCAGCAGCCAAACCCAGGGGCCAGAAACCTTCTACAGCCAAAGCTGCCAGACCCCAGACCAGCTCATCCCTCAGGCTGAATGAGACATAACCACAAGCTTAGCTGAGCAACCAGGAGACAAGGGCTTGTCGCCAACCCCCGAGCCCAGCCCTAAACACTTCCAAGGCTCCCCCCGCCCTCCAGATAACGCCCAAGCCCCTCACTCAAGGGTCCAGGCCCTTCATTATGTGATCCTTGTGAGCTCCTCCCACCTCCCTGGGCCTCGGCCACACTAAACACCCTGTGGTCCCTCAAAGCCAGCCTCCCGCATGCCTCTGTGCCTTGGCACATGCTCTTCTCTCCATGTGGAACGCTCTTCTTCTTGTCCCCTGCTTCTCCCCTAGAACTCATCACTCCCTATTCTGGGTCCTTGAAAGCCATATTCATCCCTCACCTCACCTGCCCTGTCACCCTGGGGTGTAGCTGCCTCCTGCTCTCAGCTACATACCTCCTGAGGACAAGGACCGTGCCAGGTTGTCTCTGCAGTCCCTGTGCCAGGTCAGACAGGACAAACGCCCTCTTGCAGTAAGGGGCAGCTCTGAGGCAGGTAGTCCTAGGATCAAGACCAGCTTTGCCCGCACTCACCATGTGACCCCAGGTGAGCTACTGCCCTGTCTGAGCCCCAGTTTCCGCAGGTATGAAACGGAGTCAGTCATAATCTTTCCCCCAGGGAGGCTGTGAAGGGTAAGGTCAGAGATAGCACAGTAAACTGTAAAGTGCTGTGCAAAAGGAAATGATTATTGAACTAGGCAGACTTCAGAGTCCAACCCACTTCCTGCATCTCTGGACAAGTCGTGTCACCTCTCTGAGCTTCTGTTTCCTTATCTTTACCATGAGAATGCCATCCTCATATCCATGAAGCAACCGAGAGGTGTCAGACAACATATGTAAAGTGCCTGCAGTGAACAGAGGAGCTGCTCAACAAACAGCAGCTCTCACTGTGAGTATGACAATCTCGGGGGAGACATGCCTGAGGTGTGCTCACCCACCACCAGCTTCTGTGGGGTTCTGCATTGAGTCCTACCATTTACTTATAAACCTATCTGTCCAACTAGGCTGTTTGTATTTGCGTAGCATATATCTTCCCCCATGGTGCCAGCACAAAGCTCAGTACACAGTAGGTGCTCAACCAGGAGATGGAGTAAGAGGGGTGTCTTGGAGGAGTGGTCCCCACCCCTGGCTGTCTGCCAGAGTCACATGGGCTGGGTATTACACTTGCAGATCCCTAGGCCCCATCCCAGGCCTCCCTGTCAGCTCTCTAGGGATGAGGCTGGGGAAGTCTGCATCTTTACAAGCAGCCCAGGTGATTCTGAGGCACACCCAAGACTCCACTCTGCTGGACCAGAGGGGCCCTGGGGGCCCTTCCAGCTCGAAGGCCCTGGCCCTCTCTCCCTGGTCCCATACCTGCTGACTCCCGGGGCTCCCTGCCTCTCTGAGGACGCTACAGTGGTGTTTCTGAGAGAGGCTTCCAGGGCCTCCGACTGCCCCAGGACAGAGGCCACACTCCTCCACCTGGCAGCTGAGGCCCCACCTCTCACTCTTCTGCCTCCCAAGCTTGCGTGCCATCGACACTGACTTGCTCAGGGTTGCCTGAGAGCCATGGTGGTACATGCCTTCCCTGATGAACTCTGATTCAGCCTTCAGGCCTGGGCTCAGATGGTACCTTCCTCCAGGAAGTCTTCCTGTGTCTATCCTGAGCTGCGCCCTGACTCCCAGATCCCTTGGCTCCCCCATTACAGTTTGACCACACTGTGGTGTAACTGTTGGGGTGTGTCTCCCCCTTCAGACTGTGGCCTCATCAAGGGCAAGGTCTATGCTTTCCTCATCCCTGTGCTACTGGCAACTGCCCCGGGGCTCCTGTTCACAGATAGGACATGGCAAACGTTGGCTGAATAAATGAATAAGTGGATGAATGAATGTGCAGGTTCTCATTCAGGCTCTGTGACCTTGAGCTACCTGGGCATAATGTCTCCATTTCTAAAGTGAGGGGGTGCCTTAGAGCAGTGGCTTTCAAGGCTAACTGCAAGGTGTCTTGGGGCTGAGAGAGAGGTGGAGGTCCCAGTCCCTCTGCGGTTTCACCCACAGCAGCTCCATCCTCTTTCATCTGCATTATGGGTGATGGAAAGATTAAACAAAGGGTTGTAGTGCATAACAACAAAGCTTCCAAGCCACTAGACTGGTGATGTCTCAGCACCCTTCTGGATGTTCAGGTCTTGATGCTTGAGACAATCAGAGATCTAAATTTCACAAAGGAGGCCTTGCCCGTTGACCAAGGTCACTTGCTGACCTGCTATCCCCTGACCCCCACTGGCTTAGGAAATTCACTCCCAACAGACAGGAATAAAAAGGAGGAAGTGGGAGGAAGCAGGGAGACGGTGGGAGGCAAGGCGGTATGTGATATAAGCCCACCCTGGAACCGCAAAGTTTGAGCAAAGTAACTAAATTCACAAGTCTGAAAGAAGGCCAGCTGCTGGTGGGGGGACCGCAGGAAGGCCTTTGGAGTGGCCATGCCCATAGAACACCCTGGTACCTGCTCCAGTGACTGCCTCGGGGGCCCAGTGCGGGCCTGAGGATGCTGGGCAGAGAGGGTCGGTCCCAAAGCAGCGTGGTGCCTGCTAAGTGATGAGGAACGCTGCCAGAAACCCATCCCCAGGGGGGTGGCTTGGACCCATCAGACCCAATCTGGCTCCATTTACCTTCTCACCCCGGTTGGAGAGCGGCCCATCCATATCGGCTTTGAGGTGGACGGGGGGCGCGGTGTAAGGCAGCCGGCAGTGCACCTGCCCGCACTGTACCTGACCTGTGGAGGAGAGGATGCCTTGGAGCCCATCCCCCAGCCTCCATGCAGGATCCCACCTGCCCATGCTCGTGCCTGATAGGGTGGGGCCCTTGGACCAGTTTCGCCTCTGCCACTTACCAGCTGGGTGGCCCTGGGCAAAATTTCAATAGCGTCGGTTGCAATGCTCTAGGTGAAAGTCTTTAAAATCTATAAAGTGCTATATGATAACTCTCCAGCTCACTGATAAACACACACTCATAAATGAGTATGTATTGAACACCTCCTACATGCAAGGCTATATCCACCTATTAGGATCCTCCCTTGGTGCCTTGTACCCTCATATCTCCCGGGTACCACCACGGCTTTGCCCCCATTCCTCCTAGAGGACTCTGCACTCAAATGTCACCTTCGTCATGAAGCTCTCCCTGACCACCCTATTTATAATTGCAACCCAAGACCCTCAGCTCCACCCTCCCAGCCCTCCTCAGCTTTTTCTTCCTTGACAGTTAGCGTCATCTGATTTACTGTATACTGCTATTGTTTATTCGATATCATCTGTCTTTGCCAACTAGAAGGCAAGCTCCAATGAGGGTGGGAATTTTTGTCTGTTTTCCAAATTATAGATCCTTGTGGATTCCCAGCACATAGAATGAGGCATAACATCTAATAGGTACTCTTTATATTTGTTGAATGAATCTCCGTACCCTATTCCAACATCTAAAACTGTGGAGGGAAGTCCCTCCTTACGCCTGACCCAAATCTCTCATGCTTCAGACTCTTTACCATTACAGTGGAGAAGTCCATGGTCTCTCTCTTCCCTGTGCTTCATCCTCTTTGGTCACAGGGGAAAGAGCCCTGTACAGAGACTTACATTGATATGTAACTGGGGACCAGTCACTGTGCCTTTCTGAGCCACCGTTCCCTCATCTATAGAATAAAGCAATTGTATAAGATGGGGGACTCTTTATCTTGGGTGTTCTAGGAGGCCATGAACAGCCTGAGATTATTACATGGAAAACTCTGTGTGTACGTGCATTATTCTGGGGTCTGGTTCCAATGCTTTTTATCAAATTCCAAGCTCTGTGGCTCCAGGAAACTCAGGATCCTGTCCATTTAGTTAACTGCAAAGTAAAGTGCTGACATGACTGTCAGTTATGAAGCAAGAGGCAGTGGGTCCAAACGCCCTTGGCACTTCCTGCCCCAAGACGGGTTCCACCTCAAGGGGAAGAGGTGCGGGCACCTGAGCCCCTTCTCTAGGCATCAAAGACAGACCTAGGCTTGGTCAACAAAGTATGTGTGCAGAGTCCTGGCATGACTCCGGAGGGCATGGCCCCACTCCCAAGGGGGTCACCTAGCTGTTATTATTAACTCCACAGCTAGCACTAGCTGGTAGCCCAGGCTCCTGGTGCCTAGAGAGCTCCTGGTCCTTAGCACCTTTAATAGAGGAACTAGATCTTCAATGGGTTCTGTGCAGCCTGAACATAAGTCATTGTTTAGAAAAGAAAGAGAGAAAAAGTCCCTCCTACTCAGCAGATGGTTCAGAAACGGAACAAAACAAAGAGACATGGTTTCTAACTGGCAGCCCCATGCAGTAGGCAGAACCGTGCACTCCCAGCTCTGCCAACCAGAACCACCACCACCATCACAAGAGAAGCTAATGCTCATCCAGCACTCACCAAATACTGAAGTCTTTAAGTCAATGATCTCATTTGATGGTCACAACGCTACTTTGAAACAAGCATTTTTATTGTCCTCATTTTTACAGATCAGGAAACTGGTGTTCAGGAAAGTTAAGAAGCTTGCCCAATGTCACACAGCTAGTAAGCAGCAGGGATGGGATTGGAAAGCCAGCAGCATGACACCAAAGCCCACACTCGCTCGATTATTAAGGAATACTGGCTCCCGCTAACATACTGTGGGTCCTTGGTTTCCTGATCTGTACAATGGGATAGTGATCTCTGACATTTAGAAACATGGTTAGTACAGTGTCTGGCAAGTGGCAGGGACTCTACACAGCAGCAGTATCTCTGACCCCCCCTTCTCTTTTCCTTTTCCTTGGACCCAGAGAAGGGAGAATTTGAGTTTGTGGGTATGTCGTAGCCACTTCTGTTTTTCTGTTCACGCCTAGCTTTGAGGAAACAATCAATGGAAATAACCTCAAAGCAAAAAAAAAAAAAAAATCTGTGATCAGCACCTGCTCAACAGCAGATTCACCGAATGCTCATCCCCCAGAAAGGCACAAGGCTACTCCCTCTCTTCCGCTCAAAGGTCAGTCCACCATGACCTGCCCCCCACCTTGCCCACAGTGCTCAGTCCCCACTGACATGCTTGCCCTCCCTCCTTTATTAGTTTATTGTCTCTCCACCCACCTCCCACTCTGGAATGTGAGCCCCAAGAGCACACAGGCTTTGGTCTATTGTGTTTTATGTTGTATCCCAGTGCTTAGGAGACAGAAGGCGCTCAAAAAATATTTACTAAACACATGAGTGGATTCTCATAAGCCTATGAGCTAGCCATTATTAATGTCCCAGTTTACAGATGAGGAAACTGAGATTCAAGAAGGTTAAGTGATCTGCCCATGACCTCACAGCCCCATGTCCTCCAACTACACTGGCCTTTTTCTGCAACCCCAAATGCACTGGTGCCATGCGTTCTGCGGCAGGCTGTAGGTCTGCCTACATTCACTTCCTCTGCCACCCTGCACCCTAACTTCCCCACGCCGTGTCTCACTAATCCCACCCATCTTTCTGGTCGCAGCTTGCTGAGAGGTAGCATCTCCAGACACTCCCATCCAGCACCTTTGCTATAGGAATCATCACAATTAAAACCACACACTTATCTATCTGGTTATTGTTCCATGTCATCTTTCCCACCAGGACGCAGGCACCACCAGGGCAGGTGCTCTCCCTAGTCCTCGGGCCCTGGCACGGAGTGGGTGCTTGAAAGGTATTTTTTGAATGGCTACATTCTACTAAGGGTCCAGCCCCACTGAGGCAGAGCCCAGGAACTTAACCCCTCTCCCCAACTCCTAGGTCTGAGTGACTGCGGAGCCCACATCTTCACCCATGAGGCTCGGTAAGGCCTCCCCAGGCCTCCGCAGCCCGCGCGCGCTCCTCCGTGCCCCCCTCTCCCGCAGGCCGGGCGGCCTGGGTGTCGCGGTCACTTACTCTCAATGTAGCCGTGCAGAGTGACCATGCGCGCCCGCTCGGGGCTGCTGAACGGGGAGTAGTGGATGTCGTCGGACAGGGCGGAGGGGATGCGGGACGGCGGCGCCCCAGAGGGCGGGACGGGATGCTGCGGTGTGTGCTTTTTATGACGCGCCCGGCAGTTTTGAAACCACACCTGGAACGACAGCCTCAGCAGCCTCAGCCTCGTGGAAAAGGGTCGCACGCGCGGCTGGGGGACCCCAGGCAGGGCTGCCTCGTCCGCTCCTGAGAAAGGGCGGCCGCGTGCGCCTCCGACCCGCTGCTCCGCAGCCTAGCAACGCGCTCGAGGACCCGCCCCCAGGCCCGTAGGCCCCGCCCCGGACCCGAAGGCCCCGCCTTCCCCGGCCCCACCTGGATGACCCTCCGGCTGAGGCCCGTCATGTCCGCAAGCTTCTGCAGCGTCTGCGCGTCGGGGTTGTTGTCCTGCGCGAACTGGGCCTGCATAACCTGCCGGCGCCGGGGGCCAGTGAGGCTCGAGAGTGGAGGTCGCCAAGGCCCCGGGCCAATCAGAGGCTCCGGCTCGGAGGCCACGCCCCAGGCAAATACAGCCCCTCCCCGCCACCCGCGGTCCGGGCAGAGGGGGCGGAGCCAGGAGCCTCTCTCGGCCCCGCCCAGTCCGAGGCCCCGCCCACACCGCCCCCTCGCAGCCCTCCCGGGTACCTGCAGCTGCTCAGCGGTGAAGGACGTCCGCGCGCGCTTGGCCGGCTTGGGCTGACTGTCCTGCTCCGAGGGCACTGCCCCCTCCAGCGTGAGGCCGTTCCCTGGGGGCGACAGAAGCGGCTGACCACGCGTCCCCATCTCTTCGAGTGGCAGCCTGGAAAGGACGGGGGTGGGGGGAGCTGGTCCCTGGAAGGGTCAGGAGCGCAGTTGGCCGGGAGCGGGGACCCAGGGTCCTAATCCCTGAGCTCAGTCTTTGGGGAAGGGGCTTCCACTTCTGAGTGTCCGCTCAGTACCCGACGCTTCTCTTTCGGTGTGCCCTTTATGTCTCACAGCCCTGAGGACGGGCGACATTATCCTCGTTTTACAGCAGAGAAAACTGAGGCTCAGAGAGAAGAAAGCCCTTGCCCCGGACCTTTCGACTAGCATTCTAACAGCTGGCTAACGCTCGCGCCCCAAACTGGGCCCCCTCGTAGCTAAACTGGGGAAACCAAAGGCCAGTGGAGATAGAAGCAAGCAGGTTACAGAACTCTGATCCTAACTTTGTAAAACGGATGGAAGCAAAAAGGATGGAAGGATATACAGTAAAGTGCTGGAAGTGGAGCTACACTGACGAGTACCATTACGGAGACTCTACTTTTAATACGCCTGCAACTGTTGAGTTTTTTACAACAATCATATGTAATCTTATTTCTCTAAGGTTTAATTTTGTTAACTGGAGTATATGTTAGCTTTTCTCTTTCCACTTATATTACTTGTACAATCACACTAAACATACTCCCATTTTATTTTTAATACCTCATTTTTCTGAACACAAAGGTAATACATGCTCCTTATCAAAAACTCAGAAAATTCAGATAAGCACAAAGAAGAAAATAAAAAATACCAGTAATTCCACCGCAGTTCACAATTTTTTTTTAATTAGGAAAAATACAATGTTGTAAGAAAAACATTCTAACATCCATACACAGAACATTTGGGAGGATATACACTAAAAGAGGGGTGGTGGCACTTGGAGTGATCTTTATTTTCTTCTTTGTGCTTAACCATCTTTTCTCAATTTCCTATAACGAATGTGTGTGTGTGTTTAAGTCTGAAAAGTCAAATAGTAGCCCAAACTGAGGGTTGGTCAGTAAAGGAGATCTCAAGCCTTTGAGCTTGCCCGCAGGGCAGGAGTCTGGGGTCTCACCTGGCTGTGAGAGCTCGTGTAACTGACAAGGCTGTGCCAGGAGTGGTCCTGGCTGGTCCAAGTTTGGAAGGAGCCTGGGGTCACTGATGGGGCATGGGTAGGGGAAGCTCTGACTCTGGGTTTCCATCTCAGCTCTCCTGCTGACTTACTCAGCTACTTGCAGGTAACTTCACAGAACCCCAGCTTCACTTGCTCCCCACGTAGGTCCACTTAGCCCTGATCAGCCCTGGCAGGAGAAAGTGGTGGCCCTGGTGTGGCCATGGCCAAGAACAATGTGGGGATTCCCGAGGCAAGGTGGTCCACACCCCTCCTCAGACGCTCTGGGGATGGGGCAGATACTTTGTGACTCAGCCCCCACAATCCCTGGAAGACCTGAGCCCTATCCCTGGGCCTATGTGTTTTGGGGAATCACAGTATCAAAGCCAGAAGAGATTTAGGAATCTTTCTAGTCTAACATCCATCTTGCACAGATAGGGAGATGGAGGCCCAGAGAGGAACGGTAACTTCATATGTCAGCACAGCATGCCAAAAGCAAAACTGGAGCATGGATCTCAAGACTCAAAGGCCTTTCTCCTTACAGTCCAGGATGAAACCCCATCCTCAAACCTCTGACTTGGAGCTGCTGGAGTACGAGTTGGGAGAATAGGGAGCAGACGGTGGAGCCAGAAGCGCATGCTTCGTGCGCAGCCCCACCCCCCGACGTTTCCTCCAGGTGATAAACTCAACGCTAGTCCCTAGTGGAGTGTGGATGCTTCCTGGGGTGCTGGGGTAGGGTGGGGTAGGTGAGGGCTGGGGGCGGAGGTGCGGCAGGGTGCTGGGCGGGGCGGGTTGGGTACCGTTCTCGGCGGCCCTCTTGAGGTTCTCAATCATGGTGTCGTAGTGGATGCGGCACAGCACCTTCTCCTCGACCAGGCCAAACTCCTCGCCCGTGGACAGCTGGCGCTTGCACGAGAAGCAGGCGAAGCAGGCCAGATGGTAGGCGTTGCCGCGCGCCCGCCGCACCCAGTCGCTGGCGTAGATCTGTCGGCCGCACCGTGCGCACTTGGTCCCAAATCGACTGCGGGACATCGGGGCAGGGAAGGGGGTGGCGAGGCTTAGATGAGCCATCCGTATCCCCCTCCAAACCCCAGTGGCCCACCCGCGCCAGGGGCCTGGCCTCAGGGCCTAGGGTCACGAATTTTCCTTTGTCTGGATGCACCACCCTCTGCAGCCAAGTCCCACCTAGAAGGTGAGCTGGTGGATGGTTTTTATTTTCTTCTTGGTGCTTTTCAGAGTTTTCCAAATTTTCTACAATGATCACTTACATTTATATGTAACAATCGGCTCTTTAAAGTATTTTATGTGTTAGGGAAAATATAAAAATATTAATAATAGGCAAATTTTTGAGCACTTACCACATGCCCAGCATGTGCCCAATTTCATTTTGCAGATGAGGAAAATGGGGACCAGAGAGGTAAAGTAACTTGCACAAGGTCACACAGCTTGCAAGCATAGAAACCCTAGCTGGTCTGTCTCCAGAGATGAATGAACTGTCCCCCAGCTGTAGATAAGCTCTCAGTTTCTTGGAAGCATAGACAGATATGCACTTCCTGGCTTTGTGACCCTGGGCAAATTGTCGAGCCCCTCTGAATTCTCATTGTTCTTGCCCTGAGCTGAACTAGGTGACAGCAGCAACACAGCAGCAATGACAACCACTATTTAGTGCTTTGTAGTCCTATTAAGTAACCAGATAGTCCCAGACTCTGGAGGCCTGTGACATTCTAACATGAAATGTTAAAAAAAAAAAAAAAAAAACCCAAATCCCAAATCCAATTCCCCCTTCTCCCTTAAGACTTCCTTGGTTCGGCCTCTTCCCCTCTCCCTCCGGCTTTGTGGTGTGGCTATTAGGGAGCAGCCGCCTCCACCACCAGACTGGGAGCCCCCCCAGGAAGCAGCAGAGTCTAGTTCTCCTTGTGCCAGAAGCCAGCCCAAGGTCTGACCCCTGAGCACCAGGGTAGGTTTGTTCTGTAAGTGGATGACTCACCCTGTGACCCTGTCTCAACGTTTGGGGCCTCAGTCTCCTCTTGTGCACACTCTGTTTCAGGGAATGGTGCCACCACTCATCCAGCCCCTCAAGCTTAGAAACCTAAATCATACACTCCTCCCTGTCTTCAACCCCACATCCAAACAACCATCAGGTGCTGCTGGTTCCCTTCCCTAAGTACCTCTGGGACCCACCTCCTCCTCTCCTTCTGCACCATTGCCCTCCTGGGCTGGGCTCCCATCATGAACCCCTCACTGCCAGTCTCCACCTTGGTTTCCCAGTGTCACCCCTGCCAAGTCATCCTCCACACAGCTGCCACAGCCAAGTTTCCAGCATGCACACTGAATCCTGTCCTCTCCCTGCTTAAAGTCCTTTGATGGCTCCACTCTGGAGCCTGGATCTGGATCTGGCCCGAGACCCTTGGAGTTTACAAAGCCCAGCAGACCACATCCTCTCAGGCTCATCTACTCCCTGACCTTCCTGAAGATCCCCCACCCCACACCCAAGCGTGAGTCCCAGTCAGCCTCAACGGAAGTTCATTCCCCAGGTCTTTATGGCCCCCTCTGAAGCACTTTCCCACCCCAGGCCTTTGAGGGGCTGTTCCCTTTTCCCACACGCCCTCCCAGAAGATTCCACAACTCCCAGCACCACCCTCTCAGCGCTGATCACAGCGATTTGTAGACGTCTGGTTCCTTGGCTCTCTCTTCCATCCCGGGCATTCCTGGGAGAGGACCAAGAAGATTTGCCTCTGTGTCCCCAGGGCCGGCACACTTCCACCTAGAGGAGCACTGGGAAACGCCTGTGAGTATGTGGAGGAAGCAGACCAGCAAACGCGCTCTGGTTACAGCTTCGCCTGCCTTGGAAATGCAAGCAACTGCCGGTTGAATAAACGCTCTTGTGTTGAACTGAGGGCGGAGCGCAGAGGCCTCGGCCAGCCCCAGCTCCCAGACTTGACCCCAAGGCCGCTCCCTCCAAGGAGCGCAAGGACCCTGCCGCCCGCGGCGCGGTTCGCTCAGGACGCGCTGGGGGGGCCTTTGCCGCGTCAACCGCCCCCTAAACAGAGGCAGTTCCCGACCTCGGAAGCTCGGCTTCCCCAGGTGAGAGCCCAGCACAGCCTGTGGTCTCTGTTCCCAATCCCTCAGTAAAGGGAAGAGGAAACCGCTTTGCCCACCTCAGCCTCCTCCCGCCATGGGGCTGACACCGGTTCCGATGCCCGGCTCCGGATTGCGAGCACTTCAGGCCTCCGAGAGGGAGAATTCGGGCCAGCTGTGAGCGGAGCCCTCGCTGCGGTCCGTAGTCCTGGGCTGCAACTCCTTTATTGGACCCCCTCCGCTACGCCGCAACCGCGTAAGGTGGGGACTATGGTACCCATTTTGCACACGTGGAATCAGAGGTTCCGAGTGGACAAGTGACTTGCCAAGGACCACACCGAGTGTGTGGGGCCCGGGCCGAGTTTTTATCCGAGGTGCCAAAAGGACCTAGAACCTGCGGAAGCAGCCGGACGGGAGATGAGTAGAGTTGAATCCCAGGTGTATGAACAAGAAAAGGGCCTCGTCTGACCGCGTCGCGTCTCCACTCTGGGCCGCGGGTCCTGGAAACTCCAGCGCTCGGGGCCTGGGGCCCAGCCGGCTCGGAAGGAGGGGAATGCAAAGAGCGGGACTAGCTGGGGAAAGGAAGGTCCCAGCCTTCAGACGCCAAGTCAGAGCAGTTGCGTCTCTTGCCTGTGGTCTCCGTGCGCCCGGGCCGGTGCACTGCGCTGGAGGGTACGTTCCCGAGTCCTTGCGCTTGGCTCTGCGAGATTCATCGTCCTCGCCCGGGAACCCGTCCAAGACTCCCTGTGCACCCCTGATCTTCCGGCTCCACGAGTCCCCGACGCCCGGGCGCATTTTGCACCTATACTGGCCGCTCACAGTGCCTCTACCCCCTTGCTCCGAGGCAGCAGCCGATAGTGACCTCTGAGCAACTTTCTCACTCTCCGCGCGTCACCGCAAATGCCAGGAGCTGTCCCCAGCCTTAGGATCTCCCTGCGCTCGCCGTGGCTCAGCCCAGTTAACGAAATCATCCTCGCGCTGGATCCTTGGATGGGGGTAGGAGGTCGTTATGCAGTTTTGAATGCGTTGCGGGCCTCTCCTGAAGTGTGTCCCCCACCCAGGGCAGGAGTCGGGAGCACAAACAAGGGGCAAGAGGAGGCTTACGGATCGAGGCTCTGACAAACCGACAGACTCCTTCCCAGGCGGGCTGCGAGGCCCGAGCCGCCGGATTCCGGAAGCAGCGAAATCGGCAGCGAAGACAACGAAACTTCAAGAAAGGGGTGTTCGGGAGCTGCGAAGGGAGCGCCAAAGGGATTAGGGGGCGCGGCTACCGTCCCCCACCCCAAGCCTTGTGCGCGCCCCTTCCTGAGTGCCGGCGTGCGCCCGTGGGGCAAAGGCGCAAAGAACAGTGGCGCTTTGGGCATGGAGAGGTGTCCGACAGATGCTGCGCATCCTGGCAACTACTGAAAGGAATAGGGTCGGCATCGCGCGCCTCCTTGCCCTCTCTCCCCTCAGTAGGGAGCAGAGGTAACTGGGTACCCTTGGCTGTGCAGTGGGAACTGAGTGCCTTTGACCAAGTCAGGCTCGCTCTCTCGGCCTACTGCCCCTGGATACCGAGTAGGCACTCAGTAATTATTTGTTGGATGAATGAGCCTCAACGAAAGAGCTCATCGGAGCTTCAGTATGACCCCTTTCCCTATTACTAACCTACCCCTTTTCTGCATGAGGAAACTGAGGCTCAGAGTGGGAAGACCAATGCTAGTTATGAAGCTAGCGAGCCAGAGTGCCGAAACTCAAACCAGGTTCACTTTGCTTTGCGTTCAGGACGTTCCCTTGACGGCCTTAGAGAGATTCTATGAGGCAAACAAGGGGGCTCAGAGGTAGAGCCCTTCCCATCCCCTCTGCTCCTTCTGTTCTGGGCAAACCCTTAAGAGAAGAAGCCAGAAAAAAACAGAACCAGCAATTAAGAGGTTAAAACGCCCGGCGCCTCCGAGGTCCTGGCCCGAGGCCCCTCCCCCGAACTCCCCTCTTAGCTCCCCCAACATCTGTCCCCCAACAGCTGGCGGCCGCTGGGCTTCTCTCTGCCGCGGTGGGGGGCCGCTTCCCAGCTCTGAGCCTCCCTGGGGACCCTCGCTTTGGGGGAGGGGGTGGGGGTTCTCCCGCTTGAGCCCTCGGTTGGAGCTCAGGCTCAAGGCGGAAGGAGGAAGGCTGGGGGCTTGCCCTAAGTCATTTGGGCCACGCAGGGGACAGGAACTCCAGGCGGCAAACCCCCCATAGCCCAACCCAAGGCACTCTCTGAAGCCCACCCCCATAAACACAAGGAGAGGTAGTTAACCCTTTACTCCCCACTCCCATGGCCAGGAGGCAAGCAGGCCAGGGACCATGGTGACCTGATCCTGGCAAAGTTGCTCCAGTCACAGCCTCTGAGGAAGTCACTCCTGCACTAGTGTTCCCAGGGCCCCCCCAGGGAGAGTCATATGTCAGAGCACACAGTGCGTACTCCCTGTGTGAAGCCAAGCAAACAGGGCAGGGAATCTTAGGGCCAGCAGAGGGGGTCTTTGCCATTCCATGGGCTCCACCTTACAGAGGGGCTGCTGACATATCTCACATATAGAAGGAGAGTACTGAACGATTAGACACAGGGATGGGGGAGTCAGGCAGCCATGGGCTTATCCGGGCTCTGCCACTTATGAGCTGTGTGACCTCACCTCTCAGGGCCTCAGTTTCCCCTCCTATAATGTAGTGATTATGAGGGTATCATACTGACTGGGTAGACCTGAGGATTCAATGAGATAAAACATCTAAAGGGTTAACACAGTTTCTGGCTTAGAGGAGAGCTCCACATATTCTCAGAAAGGGGGTCCTCACAGCCTGCCAGCCCCTCTTCCACTTTCTCTCACTGTGTGACCCTGGCACATCACTTTCCACTGTCCCAGACATCAATCTCCCCAACTATACAATGGTCAGGGTGCTTTGGGAGGCTGAGGGGGCCAGGAGGGCACTGCAGATCAGCCCACGCCCCCTTTGGGGGGCAGCAGCTGCAGGATGGTGGGCGGCAGGAAGCTGTCTGGGATGGTGATTGTTGAGCACAGTGGAGATGTGAATGCCCCAGAAAGGAACACTATTTTTTTCCCCAGGACTTTTCTTCACTTCTTGGAAGGAAATAGAAAGAAAAATGGTCTTACAAAAAAAGTAAAGAAATTAAAAGCAACAGCACATTTCCCTGGTGGTAATTTTTTTCTGCTAGGACTCGGGGTGTGAGGGGAGGTGGGAATCTCATCAAACCCATAAGGGCTGGTAAGGTCCCTGTTTGGAAGGAGAGCTGGAGAAACTGAGGCAGAGAGGTCCAGTGACCTTGCCAAGGGCACAGACAGTGGAATACCAACCCCTCTCAATAATGCAAATGAGGCAGGGGCAGCACTGGTCCTCTGGACTCCCTCCATGCTTTGCAGCCTCCCACCCTGGTGAGCTTGGAGTGCCTTCCTAAACTTCTAACTTCCTGAGTCCCCATTGCTGCCAGCTCTGCCAAAGGAGACTGAAGGAGGGTGTCCAGGAGGGTGTCCAGGAGGGCAAGATGAGGGATAGAACTGGGGAGACACCTTCCCTTGGGGGATAAGACCAGAGGCCACAGGATCATGGGAGCCCCCAATGCATCCTCCATGGGATCTTGATCACTTCCTCCCTCCCCCTACCCCGTTGAGAAATTTTGACCTCTTTTTGGACAAAGTGCTCGGGTCTGTATCTGTATCCAACCAGATCCTTGGCCTTGGGCTTCAGGAAGCAGAGGGCTCAGAAACCCAGTGCGTGGCCCCTCCCTGAGCCCCAGCTCTGGAGAGGGGCACTCTGCCTCCCACGCCACCATTCATGCTTTCTCCTGGAAGAGCTCCCTTGCAGCAGCCACCCAGAGCATGGGCTGCTGCTCAGAGCAGACAATAGTCCCCGCCTGGCAATCCGCCGGCTTTTTCTTTCCCTTTTTGTGGGTTTTATTATTTTTGTTACAGGTGGGGCTGCCAGGGATGGGTTATGCCTGCAGGGAAACCTGGCTGGGAGAGAAATGCTCAGAAGAGCCAAAATTCTTCCCTCATCCCAGGGAATGTGAGCTTTTATTTCCTTCATTTTCTTAACCAAAAATCTGTTTTAGTTTTGCTTTGGGGGCTCTTGTCACTGCAAAAGGGTTAATGCTCAGAACCTGCAGCCCAGAAATGGCCTGGCCCCATCCCTGCTCCCCAAACTGCGTGAGGAAATGCCAACAGGGGATTGTGCCCGGAATCTACTGACAGTGGTGACAATAGTGATCATCTTGGCACCCACAGTACCTGCCATTTAGGGAGCACTACTGAGCCTTCCTCCCTTCACTGGCCTCCTTGGCAGCTTAGAGAGATAACTCTGGAAGCAAGACAGTGAGGGCAGAGAGATGCAGTGATTTGCCCAAGGTCACACAGTGATTCAGTGTTGGCCTGATGAAGCCCGGTCTATGCCTCTCCCCACAATAACTGCACATCCCATCCCTCACTCCATCCTTCATTCTGGAAGGGGGACTCCAGTGGAGGTTCTGAACAGTGGGGTCAGGATGTGAGTTTTGCCCCATCCTTGAAGGTCTAGTAAAGCACAGCATCCAAGGAGGCTTGGTCCAGCCTGGGCATGAGGTGGGACTGAAGAAGCAGCGAGGAAAGGTGGGCAAGTGACTCATAGGGCTGCCAGGTCCATCGCCGCCAGGAGAGCCAGGAGAGGGTTCACCCCTGTCTTACTCTCCAGGAGGAGGCCGAAATATCATCATGTTGGGTTCCGTAAGCTGGAGCCTTGTCCCTGGCTAGCTGAGGAGCCCAAAGAGTCCCTAAATGGCAGCTGGCTTGTGTTTTTTTTTTTATCAACTGGAGTCAGGTATAGAGCAGGGAGGTGGCTAGACAGGGACTCTAACCTCCATTTCCTGCCCTGGCTAGCCAATAGTCAGATGAGACAGTGGGAGGAGATATCGCACTCTGGTTACACACCATACAGTGATAACTTGGCTCTAACACACACACACAGTGGTCCACAAACCCACGTCCACACCACACCCTTGAGCCCTCAGTGCCTGGGTTAAGGCCTTAAGCAGGAATGCCATCTGGGGGGATGGGGAGGAAGGACAAGATTTCAGAATCCTCACCCTCTCACCTCTGGATCCCTGTCCAGATATAATCTTGTCCTGACCACCTTGCACAAAACACACAGAGACACACACACACCAAGTCCCAACATTCACACATAGACACACACTCTGGACACTCACACATGAACTTCAAGACAAATGCTGGTCATAAAGGAACACACGTTTTGTCCACACACCCCGACCCTGCTCGGTGACACATTTCCCCAGAGCCACTGCACAGATCCACCGAGATAGACTTACATACACTCCTTGCACGCTGAGTCCTAGGCACCTGGTAGACCCCCCTCCCCATGCACACCCCAGCTGCACACCCATACACAAAAGAAGAGCCCACTTCTTGAACCATGCTTCCTAGGGTTCCCCAGAGTACCCCAGCACCAAATGCTGCAAATTTCCACCTAGATTCAAGGTCCTCTCTTTCTAAGTCCCCAAAAACTCAATGCCTGTGATAGCGAGGTGGGCATCGCCTTCCACTACATTCCCTGGCTCTCAGGGGGACTCTCTGGGGCTCCAGTCTTCCCAGGAAGACTGAAGACATGACCTCCCCCGAGGCAAGGATGGGAAGGATGTCTGTGGGTTGGGGGTGGGGGGAGGAGGTTAAGGCAGTAGCTTTCTCCATTTCCTGAGAAAGTCCCTTGGGAACAGGCGCCCCTCCCAGGAACCAATCCCACTCCACTCTCTTTGGACTCCGTAGGTCCCCTGGCCCGCATCAAGCCTGGTTCAAGATTCCCGCCAGGATACGGACTGGGCGGCTGCGCCTCTGACCTCGCAGTGACCTCGACCTCATGACCGGGTCAGGCCCCAGCCGCCTGGTTAGAATCGAGGCGCGCGCAAGCGGCGGAGACGCCGGCGGGAGGATGAGCCGAGCTGCGGTCGAGAGCTGCGGGGACGCGGCGCAAAGAGCGCAGCCCAGGGTGGTCCTACTCAGGGCCCTGGCTTCCGCGCCCGACTCTCCCCCTTCCTGTCCCGGAGCCCCAAAGTCCGAGCCTAGACCGGGGAGAGGCTGCAGCCGGTGCCGGAAACGACGACGGAGCTGGGACTGGAACGGGCGCCTGGGACCCAGGCAGGACCCTAGCAGACTCGACATGCGACCCTCGAGCGACGCGGGTGTCTGAGCTGAGGCGGAGCCGGAGAACGAGGTTGGGGCTTAGGACAAGGCGCTTGAATGTGGGGTTGCATCTGAGACCGATGCGAGACTAGTGCTTGGAGCCGCACCAGACCCGAACCCAGAGCGGAGCCGAAGTCAGAACCGGGGCAAGAGTCTGGAGCCCAGCTCAGGGTCCGGCCGGGAGAGACGCCGGCACGGCTGAAGTCGGAGTAGGGTTGGAACCCAGAGCCGAAGCGCACTGGAGATGCAGCCAGATCGCGGCTGGGGTCTGAACCGGTCGGGGCCGGAGCCGGGGACATCAGAACTCGACCGAGGCGCTGGAGGTCGGAACTGGAGCCTGAGACTCAGGCAGGACCCAAGACGGAGCCAGAGACGCGACTGAAACCGAGTGGGCCGCAGGAATCGGAAACAAATCTCGGGCCCGGACTGGTGCCGGCACCCGGGCGCGGCCTGGAGCTCCTGGTTCGTGGCGCTGAGAGCCGGCGGGCTGGGCCGGCGCGGCGCGCCAGGAGCGCACTCAGGACGGAGCCAGAGACTACGCGCCCGCCGCAAAGGCGGCCACCGCGCGCGCCTGGGGGGCCTGCCTGCGGCGACACTGCTGGCCCGGCGGCCGCAGCCTACCTGAAGTAGTCCATCTTGCAGAAGATTTCCTTGTTCTTGATGTAGCAGCTGTTCTGCTGTCTCAACGACGTGCGACACACGGAGCATTCGAGGCACCGCACGTGCCAGATGAGGTTGTTGACCTGTGAGGGGGCGGAGTGGGAGGTGGCTCAGCGCGGGCCTCTTTTCACGCCCGGCCCCAGCCTCCCCGGACCCATTTGCAGACAGAGATGCTGGAGCTCTGAAGGTGCATGTGACTTCCCCATTTTTCTTCTGTAACACTGAGGCTCGGGGAGGTAGAAATAAAGTCTCCCCGTTTTTCAAACGGGAAGCCGGGGGCGCAGAGAGACGCTAAGACTCGCCCAAAGCCACGCAATCAGGCAGCGGCTGAGCCAGGATTCGGAATTAAGTGGACCTGGTGCCGGCGTTGCTTCCTTGCAGCCCAATGGGCTGCAACCCACACCCCGCCACACACGGGCAACACCCCACTCCTGTCTCACCTTGAGCAGATACCGGTCCAGGATCTCAAGGCCACAGCTGGAGCAGATGTTCTTGCCGGCGGACGGCACGGAGGAGGCGGCAGAGGGCGGTGAGCAGACAGACGGCGTGCTGGGCGTACAGGGGGAGGCTCGACCCTCGTCCTTGTCCAGAGCTCCTGCCAGGGCCTCGGCGTCCGACTGAGCCTGCAGTGGGGGAAAGAGTGAAAGCCGAGCGCTAAGCCGAGCGCTGAGCCCAGTGCCCAGAGTTGCCGCCGCCTCAGAGACAGGTCTGGGGCCCCAGCGCACCAACTGACAACGAAATTCCCCCGAGACGCCGCGCCATGGGCTAGAGGACAAGAATGGAAGGGCCCATTGGAGAGGAAGGGACGGCCCCTACTTTTAACACGTGCGTCCTAGGTGCCAGGAGTGGTCAAAGCCCACATTCCCGGCAGGAAAACTGAGGCTCAGAGAGGGGCGGCGCCCTCCGGGAGTGCCCCAGCGCATGGACAGCGGTTCGGGGCCCGAAAGCCGGGCCAGGTCCCCAGGACAGGGCCGCCGGGGCACCTGAGACCGAAGGCAGGGCCGAACAAACTCACCATGGCGGGCGGCGCGGTCCCTTCAAGGCAGCGGGTGGTCGCTTTGCAGCCGGACCCTGGCTGGGCCATCACCTGGGGGAGGGGGGGGAGGGAACGCAGGCGGCGGCGGCTGCAAAACTGGCTCGGCGCAGCCTGAGCCCAGCGCCTCCCCGCGCCTGTTATATAAACCGGCGCGGAACAATGAGTCCTAACTTTGTAGTGGGCATTTAAAGCCCTTCCCCACAAAAGCGGTGTCTCTCTAATGAAGCAATTTGAATTTGGATTGGATTTTTTCCCTCTCTCTCCCCCTCTCCCTGCACTTAACCCGTGGCTCTTGAAGTAATCGCTTAGTTCCCTTGCAATCCAAGCCTCTGAGGGGGAAAAAAAACACGCGCACACACACAAACTACCTGCAATTAGAAATTGTCGTGAATGCCCAAGATAAGAGGTAGCCAGAGTGTCAATTCCAACTGTCAATCAGTGAGATCCATCAGGCCGCCCAAAGAATTGCAAATTTGATTTTTTAATGGTAGTAATTAAAAATCGAATTTTTTCTCTCTCCACCCACCCCCCTTCCTCGCTCCCTTCTCCTCCTCTCGGCAGAAAATGCAAAAAGGAGAAAAGAGAGAAAGAAAGAAAGAAAGAAAGAAAAGAAAAAGATGGGGGGTGGGAGGCGTTTGAAGAAAATAAAACCCGGAGCGCTGGGAGCATCAGCCCACGGGCCGGGCGCGCGCCGAGAAATTGATGCGGCAATACTGACACGGATTCAGGCACCTTTCGAGGGCCAATCGGAGGGAAACCCAGAACAAAATGGGGGCCAGGTCGGGGGCGAAACGCGACCAAAAAGAGAAAACAGAGGCATCCAAAAGGCGGAAAAAGCACCCTCCAGCCCCTCGGCGCGCCCGGGACCGGCCCCGCGTCGGGATCCTCAGCGTTGCGGCCGCACAACCCCCGGCGCATCGGCGCTATCAGCGCCTATTCAGACGGACAATACCCGCCTCGCCTCCTCTTGATTTCGCCTGTGTCTTTGCTAAATCGCTTTTTGAGAAATTCCTCCAACATTTGCATAATGTGTTCCCGCTTTCCGCGACCCCCCCTCGCGCTCGCGCGCGCGCTCACACACTCACAGACACACACTCACAGGCGCACCCCCGCACCCCTCCTCCCTGCGGCTGCCCGCCACCCGGCCCGGCCCGGCTGGGTCCCGGCCCCTGCCCTACCCTGGCCCGGGCCGCTCGCCCACTCGCTCGCTCGCTCACCTGGTCGGCGGCGGGGCCGCCCTCGGCCGGCAGCCGGCAGCCCTCCGGCAGCGCCGGGGCGGCGTTCTCATGCTTCCAGTACATGGGCCGGGGAGCGGCGGACTCAGAGGGCGCGCAGCGCGGAGGGGGGCCACGGCCGCAATGGGAGCAGAGGCTGAAGCAGGAGCAGGAGGAGAGCGGAGGCGCCGGCCCCGCTGCCCCGGGCCCGGCCCCAGCCCCCGCCCCCGGCCCGCGCGCCGCCCCGGCCTCCCCGGCTGCAGCCGCCGCTGCCTCGGAAGAAGGTCCCGACAAACTTGGAGAGGCCCCCGCCCCCTCCTTCTCCTCCTCCTCCCCCTCTTCGTAGTCCTCCTCCTCCTCTCCCTCCTCCTTGTCCTCCTCCCCTTCCAGCTGCGGCGGCGGCCGCCCTGCCGCTGGAGCCCCGCTCGGTTCAAGATGAGTCATGCGTGACCAATCCCCTCCCCGCCAAGGGAGAGCGAGACACACACAGAGAGGCAGCGACCCAGAGACACACACACACAGACATATAGACACACAGAAACTCAGAGCTGCTGACAGAGAGCCTCAGAGACGCGCTGACATACAAAGGCACCGGCAGGCACACATCCACACAGCTCTCACTACTGCCCCTCCCTCAGGGGGCACCCACAGCCCTCAGGGACAGCCCCACTCACAGGTACAGGAGGGACTCGTGGTCATCAGCCGAGATGGATTCCATATAAAGTCACACATTATATTCCGTCGATGCAATCTCACCCCTGGGACATTTGTGTACATACTGATGCAAATGACGATCTGTTCACATCGTTTACCCGAATATAAGGCATCCGCACATACTCTCACACATCTGCACCGATACCTCTGCTCATAACAAGCAGACAGTGCACCGGCTCCTAACGACTGAATGGGATTGGACTGGGTGGGGGAAAGCGGTTGGGGGTGGTGGGGGGATAGATTGTTTCCCTGAATTCTCCTGGGAGGGATTGTCTGGGACATGCCCCTTCCCTTCAGGATTTGCTGAACTATCCAGACTAATGCCCATCTCACCTTCTTTAGGGGTCTACTGATAGCGAGAGAGGTGGGGAGGGCAGGGAGGCCCAGGCATTTAGATAGGAGACACAGCCCCCAAACACACAGACCCCCAAATCCTCAAACTCAAAGACAGAGTCACACACACACCAATACCCTGCAACTTACACACACAAGTGGACATAGCCTCAGCCCGCTTCACCACACACAAACAGCCTAGAGAGACACATGTAAATATACATCCTCTTCTAAAAACAAATAAGCACGCTCAGACTTGGATCCAGCCCTATAGACACCACAATACCCCACCCCCACACCATCACACATACCATCACCTCCCTAATTGACCTCATTTACAAATGTAAACACCCCCCACACTGTTCTTACACTTGCACACACATCTAGACTCAAGAGAGCACAGACTCCCTCAGAGCTCCAAACCTGTGTAAAACCTTATATCCTCTACCCAGACACCCACAGACATGCACATACATCCCTACAGATGGCGAAATAACCATTTATAGGCAGAAACAGCACACACACCACTGCAGACACAGGATTCCCAATAGTCACACCCTAGGTCTTGGACACATACAGGCACATCGTACTGGACACAGACAGACAAGGAGGTCTGCACACCAACATACTACTAAAGACCCACTCCTGTATCTCTGATGGGTACAAGTATCTGTTCCTTTACAGACACTGAGGTACCCAGAAACGGGCCCAGGCCCAGCTAATGGCATCTCCCACCCCCTGCAGTCCAGTCATTTATTGCTCTCAGACACAGAAATTCAGAGTGGAAAGTTTCTCTCTGAACCCTGATCTTTTACACTAAGAGCACAATTGTAATGTGAAAGCTGGTGAGGTGTGTGCATATACACACACATGTGCACGCACGTACAAACATCCCCTCAAACATCCACATGACCACAGACAAACAACCTCCTCCCCCGCAAATCTCTCTTTTGCATGTAATAAATCCAGCTACTACTCCTACTTCAATCCATGATGAGGTCAGTGTTTCACAATTACGGCTTCATATTCTTTTCACAACAACCCTATGAGGTAGTGTCTCTTATTGTACTCATTTTACTGAAGAAGAAACTGAGGTTCAGGGAGATCATGTAATATGTCCCAAATGGCGCCACACAGCTAATAATTGCCAGTGCCAAGAACTCAAAACTGGATTTATCTGACATGAGAGCTCATATTCTTGATTTCTAGGCCACATACATGACAATGTCCACTCTACACGTGCACACACGCACACACACACGAATTTTCTGGATTATCTGTCAAAAGACCTGGATATGACTCCTGGCCTCACCACTTATGGGCTAAGCTGGTTTTCTCATCTGCAAAATGGGAATAATGATAGGATGACCTTTATCTCCTTCTTCTCCTTCCCTTCTGGGTGGCTGGGGGAAGTGGGAGGTCATTGAACACTGAACAATGCCGCACATGTGTCAGATGTTGGGAGGGCAGAGGGACTCCAGGAAGGAAGAAGCCCGTGAGGATGGTACTGGCTTTGCAAAACTTCTCAGGCAAGAGATGTGGAGGAGGCTGGAGCTGAAAATGAAAGCGCAGATGAAATTTGGGTGGATTTCGGGGAGAGAAGAAAGTATTCCAGGTAGGGAGATGACTGTAAGGGTTCAAGACAAACAAGCCGATGCACTCGTATGAGAAGGAATGTGAGGCGTGCGCTCCTTGAGTGATGATAATAACAATAGAACTACCGTTTATTGAACATTGATGTGTCAAACCCTGTTTTACGTGCATTATCTTCTTTAATCCTCTCAGCAATCCCGCAAGGAGGTTATATTATACTTATTTTGTAGTTGAGGAAACAAGCTTACAGGAGCCTTACTTCAAGCTCTATCATTCAGATTCCAGAACCCCCACCCTACCTGACTATGCAACTCTGCTCCTGAATTCTGATTAGTTGCTCAGAAAATCAAAATTGGAAGAAGCAGCATTAAACTCAGTAGTGAAACACATAGACTGGAGCCAGACTGCCATGGTGCCAACCTTGGCATTGCCCCTTATGACCTGGGTCACCATGGACAAGCTGTTCAGCCATTCTTCAGTCGCATTTCCTCATCTGTAAAGTGGGGATGATAGAGTCCACTTCCTGTCCTTGTGAGAATTAAGCAAACGATCCATATAAAAAGGCTCAGAACCATGCCTGGCACACAGAAGGCAACCAAAGCCATCATTACAGTATGGAGTGGCTGCATTTCCCAGTTAATTTACTAGGTGCCACATCAAACTTTTAAGGAAGTCAGGGCATAAATTACCCAAATAATTGAATATTCTCCTCAATAACTTTCCTAAGGAAGCTGCAGAACCATTATTCCAACCCAGGGCTTGCCTGACTTCAAAGAGGACAGAAGTGAAATGTCTTTGGAAGAGAAATCTCTCTTCCAACTCCTGCCTTCCAGCAACTCCAGCAGGAAGAAGAGTCCAGATAGGAGAGACCTTGGCAAAATCAGGATTAGCAAATTTATTTCATTCTGTCAGGATATTCAGTTTCTTCCTGTGGGAGACTGGGCAAGTCACTCAGCTTCTCTGAGCCTCGGTTTCTTTACTTGCAAAATGGGGATAATAATATCTCTCAGGATTGTGGTGACAAATAACTATATATTAAAAATGGATATTTTTAAAGTGTTACCTCTATTCCTGGTACCATATAAGCACCTTACATGTATAATGTCATAAGTAGTCTATGTATACAATGCCATCAGCATCCTACATATACCATGTCCCAAGTACCCTACATATGTAATGTCTAGTTCTGACATGGTCACTAAGCAGGATGTAGTCATCTCATCTTCTGAGTCTAGGTCCAAGATTTGGGTCTAAAAAGAGGCTTCATTAGTAACTGGATAATTCTGTGGCAGCGCCCCCAGCAGCGGTTCTGCCCTGCCGGGGAGTAATTCTAGGAAGGTAATGTGAGCTGGGGGAGGCTGGAGACCCAGCTTCACATTTATTTACTCTGACAGCTAAATTGGTGAGCAAGAGGGAAAATCAGATGAAAGCCATTTCAGAGTAAATACTAAATACAAAACTTAAACCCAGGTTGTGACAGATGGGCAGGGGGCAACGGGAAGAGACACAGGCAGCACACCCCTCCCCTGCTCAGGACCCTGGCCTCACCTTGTCACCTTCCTGGGCATTTCCTGTTTGAGTAGAGGAAAGAGCATAGAAGGAGGTTAAAACTGCGTGGCCCTAGGCAAACAATTTACCTCTCCTGGCCTCAATGTCCTCATCGGTAAAATGTGTGCATGTCATTTGAATCAGACGACTGGGGAAGTGATGGAGAGAGCACTAGCCTTGGAGTCAGATAGACCTGAGGTCAAATCCCAGCCCAGCCACTTCCCAGCTGGGTGAACTTAGAAAAGTGACTTATCTGAACCTCACTTTCCTTAAACTATGGGAAGAATATCAACCTCAGAAGAACAAACGAGATAATCAGTGTGAAAGGGCTTTTTAGACTTCAGAGTGTCTTGTGACTGTGAGCCACTCCGGTCACCCAAAGTCCCTTTCCAGTTCTGACGTACACTGTGTAAGTTCCCGTCGGCAGACATTTATGAAGCACCTACTGTGTGCCAGGCTCCAGGTAAGGCACAGGAAGCACAAACTGTCTTAGTCCCTGCCCACAAGGAGCCCAGTCTACTGGGAGAGAAGAGAGCCAGCATTTGCAGCACGGTGTGCCAGGTGCTACAGAGTGGGGAGCACAGGTGCCAGAGAAGCAAGGAGGAGGGTCATTTAAGCTGGCTTACAGGGTAGGTATCAGGAAAGGCCTCCTAGAGGAGGTGGCCTTTCAGCGAAGTCCTAAAGGATGAGTAAATATGAGGCAGGCCAGGCCTGAGGGGAGTTGGATCAGGCTGGAGAGAGGGTGCCCAGTTAGTGGTTTGCTGGGGCAGCATCAGGAGATGAGGCTGGGGAAGTAGGTAGGAGCCAGCTCCTGGAGGGCGGAGGGCTGAGTTGAGGAGTTTGGATTCGTTTTGAAAGCTATGGATCCACAAGCAGCAGCATTTCGTCTCTGAAGATGCAGCATGGCTCAGTGGTTAGGGATTCTGGGTTTGGAGTCAGGTAGCCTGAGTCGATACCTGACTCTATTACACACTGGTTGTGGGACCTCAGGCGACTGACAAACTCTATGAGCCTTAGTTTCCTCAGCCACA